AGTGCTGGGTTCTCCCTGAATACCAGGAAGTCAGGCTCAGGGAGAGGAGAAAGGCTGCACTTGCTGCTTACTGGCTGCTTCCCTATGGGTGGTGGGCAGATGGAGGGGAGAAAAGCTGGAGCAGTGGTGGTGAACCTTTGGCCCTTGTGCCGCAGTGGGCTGTTTATATCACGAAAAGCTCCAAAACGTTCCCCATCACTGAGCTACAGAGTGAGCCTCGCAGGCCAGACACCAAGGGGAGGAAGCAGGGCCTGATCTTTCCACACAAGCAGCCCCAGCCTCTTATTTATCCCCAAGGTTAAGAGGTGCATGAGAGCTTCTGCCACTTCCTGGGACTTTAGGCTAGATTATGGCACTGGCAAAGACTCATAATGAGAAAGCAGAGCATCTCCGTTGACAGATTTACCAATGCCACATGCCAGGAGGAAAAAGATTAACTTAAAAACACTTGAAAAGGCTGCTTTTTTTTTTTTTTTACCAGGAGCTGTACTGGGGATTTGTAGGGAGAAATTACACTGAGTTCAGTTAAGGTTAGGGGATCAGGGCTCGGGTAGGTGTTGGGGATGTGCAGGGCAGGACCTTATTGCACTGCTTCCTGTTTTATTCCTCAGACCTAGAACATTCAGCACACAGGTAGGTACTCAACAGATGTTAAGGAATGCGTGGAAAACAGCCTTTGCCATCAAGGAAGGCCTTAGCTCTCAAAGGAGCAACTCTGACAGGAATTGCAAATGCCTCTGGCCACAGACCAGGGTGGAAATCCATCTGTTTTATGTGTTTCTTAAATTACATGGAATCTGCTGAGCTTTGCAAAAGAGAATCAACTCTGAGCATGGACATGGCAGGCAGCAACTGTGATCCACGAGGAGGTAGCGGAAGATGGTGGTGATCTGAATTCCCTTGCCCAGAGCTCCTCACCACCTGGCTCTTGCTCCTTTTCTCCTGGCTCCCTCCTGCGTTGACTTTTAACTGTACAAATGGCTTGTGGTTCCTGGCTGCTTTATCTACCCCCCCCC